GCACTGGAATTTTTTAAAAGGCACCGGCTCGAGGGTCCAGCGTGTTCCTTGAGCAGGGCACGTGCCTGGGGAGGGCCATGAGCCGGCACGGGGAGGGAAGTGCGGCTCCAAGGGGCACTGGCTGTCCAAGACCTAGGGGCGCTTCCTTAGCCCCCAAACACGGCATCGCCGTGCTCTGCGCCTTGGGCCCAGCTGCTGAAACCCAGGATAGGCAAAACTGAGGAGCAGGAACGTATCCCCCTCAAAGCTCGCCCTTTTGGGGCAGCAGAAACGTAACAGGGAAACACCAGAGATGTTACATGGAATAAAAGAAATGCTCCGATTTTAAATATGCTGCTTAAAGATGGACAGCACTCTGTTAAAATGCTGTGTTTCTAAATCCCACCTGTGCAGTTTCGGATTTGTGCGTTCCAACTTCGGTGCTGGAGCAGGAGTCAGTGGTAATGAACAGTAACAGCATTCGGAGGCAGCGTTTCCAAGTCCACAAGCCACAGAGTAAAGTTACCAGCCGTTTGGCCTTGCATTCTTTGAGATGAACTTCTGACGGTTCTTTGCTGATAAGTGGTATTTAAAAAAATATATTTGCTTGTTTTAGTATCCTTCGTTGAATAGTTCATCACCAAAAATAAGGAAATTGCTCTCTGATGAACAAGGAAATACACAGAAATAATAGATTGACGGATAGCATTTGTTCTGTGGAAAGAATAAACTGTATTGCAGACATGGGGAGGAGAGATGCAGGGGAAGGGAGGTGAAAGGAAAACAAATTGGCTGCATGCAGGGGTCTAGTGTCAAACGTCAGAGGGATCGTGCTCGCTCAGACGCTGTGTGAAAGACCGTGGCAACCGGGGGCCCGGAGAGAGCACAGGGGTTTGCAGCCCCTCCGCGAGCCCGGCCGAGAGAGGGAATAGGTGAAGCAATGCGCTTTGCAGAGCCTCTTGGTGGATTCATGGTTGTAAAACAACACAGAGTCTCCCTTCATCCTGTGTGCTGGCTCATTCGAGGCAAAGAAAAAAAATCAAGTCTGAAGCGAATGGCTTTCTAATTCCCTTCGTCAGTCAGACAGTGCTGCTCTGCCAAAGGTGGCTTTGCTTTGGGCTGCCTGATTTAGAGAGAGGGATTAAGATCCCTGCCAGACACAATAAGTAACAACATTACAAGGCTTTTAATAGGAATATTTCTGGGAAAACGTAGGAGTATGCTTTTAGCCCGCTTGGAAAACACTGTTTGCAGGTGATGTTTTACCGTAACACAGTATATGGAAGCTCAGTGATATTTTTCATTACAGGAATAGGCTAGAGCCCCCTCTCTTTTTTTTTTTTTTTTTATATCCACACGAGCAGTGCCTAAGAGCTGCAGGATACGGAGCAGTGACAGTCAGGCTAGCACAGGGTAGTGCACAAGTGCCAGCTGCCTCTGCCGGTGCTGGGGAGCAGCAGATAGAGCTGTGTTAGAGGTAAGGTCAGATAGCGCCGTTATATCTTGTACATCACAGGCCATTAAATTGCACCAGCAAGTTGTGTTTATCCGGAAAGGCTGTCATCTTTGAAGACATCAAAAAATGGAGATCTGGCATTTCTGATGGGTAATGAAATCGTGGTATAAAAATGTGATTCTTGTTGCTGATTTGAATCTGTCTGAGCTTCCAGCCCTTGTATCTGGTTTTGCCTTCTTCACTAGATAAAAGAACTCTTTAAAGCATTCCATTCCTCGTGGAGGTATTTTTATATGCCATGGTCAAAGCATCCCTCGGTTTTCTTTGTGGTAGGCTAAATGGATTGAGCTCTTTAAGTCACTCACTGGAAGACACTTGCTGCCTCAAATCATTTTTTTGACTTCTTTTTCTGCTCTGATACTAAAATGTAGACATCTGATTGTATATATTTTTTCTGGTACCATCCCTCCAATGCAGCATGCAGGACAAAGTCACCCCCGGCTTCTATTTGCTGTTCCACTCCCTATGTATCCAAGGGTTGCATTGGCTCCCGTGCCGCAGAGGGCACGGGGGGTTCACGCGGGGCTGCCTGTCCGTTCTGCACGCGGAGACGCCGCGCTCGGGTCCACGCAATGCCGTGGCAGCCGCGCTCGCTGCTGCCGGCCCCTGCTCGCGTGCCCGGCGAGGAGCCCTGGCACCGCTCCTGCTTGTGCAGCCCGCCTCGGGGCTGGCCAGGCCTCGACATCGCCGGAGCCCTGCGGTGACTCCCATGTGTGGGAGTCTCCGTGGGGAAAGCCTGGCTTCGTGTCCGCTCTTAGAACTGGGAACAGGGGGTTTCCACCAGGCGTAGGTAAAGGCTGTTACCTAGAAGCCTAGAAGCACACGGCGGCGGAAGCAACACCCTTGTGCTAATCCTCGTGCTTCCTCCAGCTGTTACGCAGCGCACCAGATCCGCTGCAGCTGGCGGAGCTCCTTGTGGAGCTTTCTTCCTTTGAAAACTCTGGAATTAACTCATAACGTAACATGATACGGAAGCGAGTGCCTCCTGCGGCATTACCGCTGGGCCGGATTTTTCCCTCTGCTCGATGCGTGTGTGTGCATAAGAGCCAGTTGTGCAATCGGATTTCTTTCTTTTTGAAGCGGACGCGGCGAGGCCTGGGCTGCAGCGCCGGAGGCAGCTGTGCACCGAGGCTTGCTGAGGAAGCTCCTGCTGCTGCTGCTGCACAGCATGCCCTCTGGCTCCCGGTTTTCTTATTCCCGCCTTGCTCTTCACCCTTGCAGTGGCTGCAGCGCAGGGCTCCGCTGTCTGGCAGCGTGGCACCGCTCCTGTCTATAAATGGAAGCAGTTGGCACCTCTCCCAGTATAACACCAGATAGTCCTGTGCATCGGTTATGCAATCTGGAGCTTGACGACTTCATCAGAGCCAGGGGGAGGAATAGGGGGCGGCAGGAAAGAAACCTTTACAGGGGCTCTGCTGGGGCCAGCCCGTGTCCCGTCCCCAGCAAGGGGTACGCACAGACAGGGGCGAGGAGAAGGGCTCCGTGGAAGGGTGGCTGGGGGGCCGCGTTTCCCTGCGTGCGGGCCCGGCAGTGCCGGCTGCCCCTCACGGCCTGGCACGGCGTCGCGGCACCCGCGTCTGACCCGTGTGCCAGGGCAGCGCGGCAGGGGGCTGTGCCAGGGCAGCAAGAACGGAGGAGAGGAAGCTTTCGAACCAGGGTGTTTGCTAAAAAGAGAAAGAGCCTAAATATCTGAGAGCTGCCTTTCAGCAGAGAGGCCTTCAGGGAATATCTGTGCAAAGTAGAGATGCGGACAAATTGTGTTTTCTTGTTATTTCCTCAAAAGAGCCCTTGAAAACCTGACCTTCATGCAGAAAGGCTAATCTCCCAAACTGCACTCGAACATTGATTTTAACCCTTTTGCTGATTGGGCTTTTGGGATAATAAGATTACTTTTCCATAGTTTTCCAGTCTCGCAGTCACTGGCACCGCTCAAGCTATCTGTGAAGCAGGTGAACCCAAGCCTTACCCTGGAATGCCTTTTGACAAGGATCCTGAGGTGAACTGGGCCCTTTCCACCACGTCTTTGAATGAGGTGCCCGAGCGCTCAGCACTCAGTACAGAGGGTGCCCCGGCCGGGCGCAGCCACAAGAGCCGCCTGGGGTTATTTATTAATACACCAGACAGGGTGACAGGGATCACCCTGCTCATGGCAGCCAGCGGCTTACGTGGAGGGACTGGGATATTTCAGACTTGACTTTTGGCTGTCGGTGCTTAATCTCTCCTAACATGCCCGGCCTCCTGGCACCCGCTTGTTCTATTTCCAGCCTTCCTAGCACGGGTTTCTGCGTGGCCGTTTACAACTGCTTGTCCATATTGCAGCCGGCTGCCCTGAGGATTATTCCCACCGGGGACCGCATCCTGGCGCAGGTCTGTGGTGCTGCAGTGTGGCGCCCCGTGCCTGTGTCCACCCGGGATGCAGGCTGCTCTGGCAGGAACAGGAGACGCCGCTGCTTTTATTTCTCTCCTGTTAGTGTTTCTTTCTTTGAGAATAAACTGCTGGCACTTCAGGGCAGGGCAGGATTAGGCGGGGGGCGCGGGGCAGTAATCCCGGGATTACCCTGCTAGTGACCCCCGGCTCGGCAGCCCTGTGCGCTGCTGTTGCGCAGCCAGCAAGCCCTTCCTCCCCGCGCCGTCCTCCTCCTCCTCAGCGCTCCGCGGGCGGGCAGCACCACCTGCCGGCTCCAGATGCTTCTCAAGTGTTGAGTTTAAGAGATCTTTCAGTTCATCCCATGCCCTTTCATCCCTGCTTTTTTGGTTTTATTTCTTGTTTTTTGTTTGTTTGCTTTTGGTTTTGCTTTTTTCCGCACTGGTAAAAGGCTGCAAACTGGACTAGGAATGGGGCTGCAGCATCGCATGGATCCTGCACCATTGCAGCTCTTGGGCTGTAGCTCTGGGGTGGAAATTTTAAATAAGCACGTTGCATGGTTAAATGTGCAGCTTCTGGCACAATACAGGGGGAACTCATGTTGCCAACTTTCCCCGTGCAGTCTGTGTGCCTAAGACACCAGCTCCTGAACCCAGAGGATTATGTGAAAAAAATTGTTATGGAGAAGGCGAAGGAAGGGGAAAAGGAGGGAAATGTTTGTCTGGTTTCCATAATGATGGAGAAAGAAATTGATAAAACGTGACTCAAAGGTTACCTACCCTGAGTGAAGATAAAGCAAGTATGTAACCGTCTTTGATATTAGCAACTGCAAAGTGACCTTGCTTTATTTGAGGGGCGCCTAGAGCTGAAACCCCCGGTTATGATGGGAGGGAAGAGGAAGCTGCCACCAGCTCCATGTCATCCACGACAAGCCACGGGGCTTTTCCAGAGACGCTTGCTTTCTTCGAGCCCAGTGCTCAGCACAGGCTCGCTGTCCGTAGCTTCCCTCCCCGCGCGCGGAGCGCACGGAGTAACGCGGCCGTTTCTCTTGGCACAGGAGCAGCACCAGGCGGGCCTGTCCCGCGCGGCAGGGCCCGTGCCGCCGGGCGCCGGCGCTGCCGCCTTCCTGGGCAGCCAGCCGCAAGCAGCCCTCATGAAGCAGATGCTGATTGAGCAGAGGGCCCAGCTGCACGCGATGGAGCAGCAGAAGCAGCAGTTTCTACGGGAGCAAAGGCAGCAGCAGCAGCAGATCCTGGCGGAGCAGGTACAGTATCGCTGTCCCTCAAGCACTGTCACGCGTGCTGGTACGAGAACTAAGTGCGAGGGACAGGACAGAAAATGTTCTGATAGGTCAGTAGTTGCTTTAGCCCTGCTTCACCTCCCTTGCTGGGGAATTACAGGTTAAAATCTGGGCTCCCTTTGAATTTGAGCTAGGGCTCGTTTCTGTTGTGGTACCACTGAAATATTTCTAGTCCTCCCTTCATAGAATCATAGAATGCTTAAGGTTGGAAGAGACCTCTAGAGGTCATCTAGTCCAACCCCCTGCACACGCAGGGTCACCTTCCCCTCCCTTCTTCTAGTTCTTTCAAGAAATGGAAAAAGTTTCCCCATAGTGAGCAGGGAGGACACTCCTTGAGGTATTCAGGGATGCATGAGTATGATCAGAGGTGAGCAAATGAGGATGCCGTAACACTCTCTTGTGGGTTAGGCCACTTCAAGTGCTTAAACCCAAGAGCCAGTCACTGACCTGGCTATTGAAGGCAGGTCTAAAAGTGCTGAAGAACTATAGGACTGTGCTGTTAAATGTGCTGGATATAGATGAAAAGCGTTGATGAAAGTCACATTCCTCAAGCACTCTGCTTTTTTGGGAGCTTTGTGCCTGGCAAAATTCCCTTTATCTTTTTGATAGTTTGTAGCAAACTTTATTGAACACAGGGATTTAGTATTTGCTGCTTCTTCATCTTCACCATTCCCTTACCTTTGTTACCCAGTCTTACTTTTGGACACTGAATTTGTTCCTGCATTAACTGCTTAGTCAGATATACCCCAGTCTTTGAAAGCACTGATAGGCTCACTCTCTGCTTTTATAATTAACCATTGATTGTGTTTTATACACATTAGTATTCATAGAAAACAACCACAGAAGATCAGATTGAGTTGGATCAAGGGATGAAAACATTTTGCCATCACCTGCTCCTCAAATATCATTCAGTGAATCAGAAGACAAAAAAATAAGTGCCTCAATAGCCCTTTTTATTTTGGCTAGAGAATGGTTCTGGGCCACAGCATTGAGTTTGGGAGGCAGTACCCATCGCAGCTGATCATTTTGAGAGCTCTTGGGAATAGGTCTTGTACCAGGACTACCTGCCTCTAGGCTTTGGCAAGACTGGGGGAAGAAAAGGTTATAGTTGCCTTTCACACCTAGGTGTACAGTTATCTCCTATGCTTCTCTCTCTCTGTCTTTTTTCAGTATAAAGATAGCTAAGTTTGCACTTCAGAGGTCAAAATGAAGAGCTTGTAAGTGAGGAGGGCTGATGTTAGCCTCAGTGCATATTCCGTTCCGAACCAAAAGGAGTCCATGTGCTGAGTAGCCCAAGTACTCTCAGAAAGACTCTTCAAATGAGTCTGCTTGTCTCTTGAGAACAGCTTGCTAGAAATCACTGAGGTTTTGCTGCAGCATTTTTGTCATCAGCCCCTTTCTTAGCTTGCTAATTAATTAATCATCTCTTTCTCATTTGTGTTTCTTTTTCCTCATTCATTTTCAGCAGTTGCAGCAGCAGTCGCATTTGCCTCGGCAGCACCTCCAGCAGCAGCGGAACCCATATCCAGTGCAACAGGTCAATCAGTTTCAAGGTAAAATCAAATCCTTTTTCCCATCCTAGAGTCAGCATAGGCCCCTACAGCAGACACATGAAGGTTTGTTAATTTGGTGAAGACCAGAGGTTAAGCAGTGTGCCTGAGCAAGAGGTCATGCTGTTGGGTGCTTGCACATACTGCATATTTTACCAAAGGATTTTGCTCCCTTTTGTATATTTAGTTAAGTTTCTAATTTCCTTTCTGCTCCCCTCAGCAGAAGCTGCATTTTTCATTTGTCCATTTTTCTGCCTCTTTGATTTATAGATTCTGTGAATTTTTCTCGTCTTCCCCATTCTCATTATGTATATTTGTTTTCAGTGAGTGTCTCTCACTCGTCTTTCTTTTCCTCCTCTTCATTTCCCACTTTGTTTAACTTGGTGAACAGGGAATTTCAGAGAGGTCGTGTTAATCTGGAGAAGGACTAGGCAGAAGTGCCTGATAAAGGGCAGGTATGGAAAAAACAGTGAAACTCATGACATGAAAATAGAGGGTTTTTTAATCAATTTAAAAGTGCAAGGATTATTTCAGTGTGCAGATAGTTGAGGAACTTACAGACAAAGATTTTGGTTTAGGAAAAAAGTTAACTCTAAGCTTTTTAAGTACAAAACATCAGCTGAATGTCTTCACTCACCATGGATTCTAAATATACACAGATGTAAGACACGTTTGTGCTGTGTATTCCTGACAATGCTGAGCGCTGCAATAAAAACAAGTGAGGCAAGCACACTGCAGCTCCAGTATCCAGCCAGTGAAGAGACAGCCAGCCTTTCTGCTAGTCTTTAACAGAGTAGCTCTACAGATCACCTTCTAATTCTTATTTTTGGCAGAATAACTTCTATATGAAATGAAAATATTCTCGGTAATTCATCTGCAAAATCAAAACATGTGTGTGCACCATCATACATTTATTGAGAATCATATGTAAAATTTCTTATATTAAACCTTTTTTGAAAATATGTCTTCACATCTTTTATTTAAAAGAAATGCAGAGCAGAGTTTAGGCTAATCTGAGCAAATAGAGAAATTATTTTCATAAATGAGCTAATTTAAGTATAAATATTAGATCCTCTTTTTCTATTTAGTCACAAGAATGTAAACTAGTGCAGTAGGTTATGAGTAAGTGAGACCAGAAGGTGGCCCATAATCTTAAAAGCTATTGCATCTCTCTTTTAACTACTTCTTGTCTAACGGCTGTGTCAAACAGTAGCTCATAGAAATATGTGAACTACTTGCTGATAGGGACTCCTCTGGAGGTTTTCAAGTGCAGGGTTCAATTCAAAAATAGCTAGAGATACATTAAATAATTCTTTAACGTTATTCATGTACTGTAAAAAGTTACATCTTCCACTCATGAAAGAAAGAGGTGATCTAAAATAAAAAGGAGTGCCAACCATTGAGAAAACAGTTTAATTGATAGCATCGGTGTAGTAAAAGCTACCGTGACATTTTCCCTATGCAACTGAGATCCGTATGGTCCCTCTTAATGCTTTGTTATCTGTATGCTGGAGAGTTGACCTGAAAGCATCCTCCAGAAGTTTTGCCTGCAGTCAAAAAAAGGAGATGTAGCCATTTGCTTGGTTCATGTGCGCAAAACTGAGAGGCATTTCCTTTATTCATACCCATTTCTCATGGAAACCGAGCTGATGCAATACCGGCAGGGCCTGCTATTCAGTATTCTGATATTCCAGCATGTTCTCCACAGCTGAGGAGCAACTGATAGGGACTGATTTAAGACCGATTTTGTTGTGTAGTTTATGACTCTTAAGCCAACCTTTTATATTTACATTTAATAATGTTTGAGCTGGGACTAACTCTCTGCATCATTCTCTTGGAGCTTCACCTGCAGACTATTTTATTGTTGTAGTTTGCTGTGGCATTGACTCAAAACCACAATGAACCCGTGGCACAATCAGAGCTCCCGTAATTGTTTTTAAATAAAGATAGTAAATACAGAAGTATATTGGCTTCCCAGAAATCTATTGCTTCCCCCTGCCTCCCTCCCACAAAGGAAGACAAAAGGATGGTGCCGTTTTCTGGCAGGGTGTGGAATTTAACAAGGTTAGGATTTTCTGATTTCCCATCACTGACCTAACATGGAGTAAGATGTGCTTATAATATTGATTCACTAATTCACTCTTCCTACTTTAAAAGTCCACAAAAAAACAATTTTTCTTCTTTCCATAGATTTAAGCAGTAACAATGATATAGAAAATCCATTCGTTATGCCTCCTGAGCTATTAAAAAATTGACTGGCCTTCTGAGCCTGACATTTCCATTTTCAGGGCTTACTTTTGAAAGACAATGGAGTTATTTAAGAGAGAACTTCAAATAGTTAACTGAAGTTCAGTTGTTTTGCTTCTGTTGAAGGCCATGGGAGGTTTTCTCACTTGCTTGGTGTGAGCTGCATCACGCTTCTCTGAGAAAGATAAATACTACTGAATTACATTGTGTGTGTTTATAACTTTAAAAATATTGTGGACTGATTTTTTACATAGGGAAGATGGTCAGTGGTCCCTGGAGGCAGGGGCGAGGGAGCACACAGAAAAAGAAAGCCTCGAATTCACTTTTGAAATAGGAATCTTTTTGGACTCACACATTACACAGATGTTGTTATTTCAGGAATCCAAAGCCATCAATGGTTTTGGGTACAAATCCTAAAATTTTTATAACTGAGACTTTTTTAATGCATAAATGATTGGTGTTTAACCTTGCCAGCCCCATTTTAGGCCTTAGGGGAGGTTAGGCCAGTGGTCTGTATTCATAGTATTCTCTACTGAACAGTGACCCATTTCACCAGTTGAGTGCATGATATGATGAGCGGCTCCTGCTTAGGGTAGCCCTCCAAATGTGTTGTCCCTCACCCCCAAGGAGAGGAGACTTTTCCAGAGAGGACTGAGGTTGAGTGAGGATGATGTGGGGAACACACAACCTCTGAAATGTGGCTAGCAAGTGGATAACCCAAGGCTATGTCAGGGTGGATAACCTTCCAGTTCTCTGCCAGCCTTCACATGAAGCAACACGTCACTCGAAAAACAGAGCGATCTGGAACCCTTCTGTGCTGCAGGAAGCTCCTACAGATTCTCCCTTATGCAAAGAGGTGTTAATAAGGATGTACAAGGTTGCATTTTTTTCTTACTTTCCCCCTCTTTGGCCAGGTTCTCCACAGGATATGGCAGCGGTGCGGAACCAGGCCGCTCTGCAGAGCATGAGGACGTCGCGAATGATGGCTCAGAACACGGGCATGATGGCCCTGGGGCCCTCCCAGAACCCAAGCACGCTGCCCACAACAGCGGGCCAGTCGGACATGGGCATGACCCCCTACACCAACGCCTCCTCCAGCCAGCCGGGAATGTACAGCATGAGCACAGGCATGAGCCAAATGTTGCAGCACGCAAACCAAAGTGGTATGAACATGGCACATGGCGCAGGCCAGGGAGCGAGGCAGCCTGCCTCTGCACAAGCGGTGGGAATGGTCAACAACTTTGGTCAGAACGTGCTGGTAAACTCTGCTCTTCCTCAACATCAACAGCAGATGAAAGGACCTGTGGGCCAGGTCTTACCCAGGCCACAAGCACCACGGCTTCAAAACCTGATGGGGACTGTCCCTCAGGGAACACAAAACTGGCCGCAGCGAGGCTTGCAAGGCCTTCCCGGAAGGACTAGCAGTGAAATGGGGCCTTTCAATAACGGTACCACGTACCCAATGCAGCCTGGGCAGCCAAGGCTGTCCAAGCAACATTTTCCACAGGGACTTAATCAGACAGTGGTGGACGCTAGCGGGACAGTAAGAGCCCTGAACCCAGCAATGGGGAGACAACTGCTGCAACCACTACCTGGGCAACAAGGAAGCAGCCAGGCCAGGCCGATGGTTATGCCTGCAGTAGGCCAGGGGGTCCCTGCTATGCCTGGATTTAGTCAGCCTCCTACACAGCAGGTGCCAGGCGGCAGCTTTGCTCAGAGCAGCCAAGCCCAGGCCTACGAGAGGAATCCCACTCAGGACTTATCGTACAATTACAGTAGTGAAGGAGCAGGGGGGTCATTCTCCAGTTTAGGAGAGGGCACGGACCTTGTGGACTCCATCATTAAGAGCGGACCAGGGGATGAGTGGATACAAGAATTGGATGAGTTGTTTGGAAACCCCCAATGAACAGGCTTGTATAGTCTGGAGCTTTGGTTGTTACTTTTTTTTTTCTTTTCTTTTTTTTTTTTTAAGACAAAGTTGGGTATTCTCTCCATCCTTGGATTGTTGGGTTTTTTTGTTTGAGTCGGTTTGGTTTGGGATTATTTTGTCTTCTTTTATTCTTAATCGTGCAAATTGAGCTAATCTGTAGCCAACTTTGGAAGATTGAAGTGATGCTGAAAATATCAGCACCACAAAACTTCCACCAAGTAATCCCTATTGCACAGCAGCCTCCGCTGCATGTCTACGGAGCCGGACAGAGAAACTGGAAAAAACAGTCGATGTCTCTGGTTGAGTAAAGTCGGTGTTTCCCCATTGCACAGAGATACGAGGTGGTCCCAGTACCTCCCAGCTCATTTTACTGTAAACACCGCAACTTTCAGGGCACTGGATGAAAAACATGGGAGCAAACCCTCAAGAAGCCTGCAGATGATTGCACAGGCCTTGGTCAGGAAGAGGCTTAGCCCTGGGTATCGGCCTCAGGTGAGCCACGGTCAGGCCCGCAAGGGCTGCCCTGGGTTGTCACACGGGAACGTGTGGCACACACGTGACAAACCCAAACAGCCGCAGAGAGGCCATTGCTTTCACTGCAGAGTGATAAAACCAGTGAAGATGTAGCAGAACATAAATTTGGCAGTACAGCAAGAAGGACAGTCTGATCACAGGACTGTTACTGGAGGCGCTTAGGTAGGTGGGTTAACTTAATGAGCAATTTAGTCCCCTCGGGTGCTTGGGAGAAGCAGTGGTGCTTCTGTCAGAGCACTTGAGGCTGTCTCGGCTGCCTGGGAGTGGAGAACAGCAGCTGGGAATGGTACTGAAGGGCTAGGAGGTACCCAGAGACGTCAGCATAGGTCCTAAGCAGGTCCCCATGTCTCCTTCCTTCCCTAAGTATTTTCAGTTTGCTTTTTTTCTCTCTTACCTTTCAGCATAAAACAAAGTAAGCTCAGTGCCCTTCTTTCCAGATGAACAACAGCCACCACAAAGGGGCAGAGAGGAGAGGAGAAAACCACCACGAGCAAATGCATAGGGAGAGTTTGGTGCTCAGGGTGGGTTTCTGTTCTCTTGAACAGTGCAACATCCGCAGATATTATTACCCTGGTGTTTGGGGGTCTTGATTTGTCACATGCAACCTTCATCTTCTGTTTTAAGCAGATGTTTGGTCTGAACTCTCTTATTTGCTGAAATAAAATTCACTGCAGTATTTGAAAAATAGGGGTCGAGGAAGGACTACTGTAAAGAACTTTAATGAATCGGCAGAATAACTGATTTAGTTACAGCAATGCCAGGGGGTCCCCAGATCATCTTTTGGGCAATAGAGATGTAAGGTAAACGTGGACCTCTGCTGAGCAGCACTGTAATAACGCTGTGCTGTGTCCTTTACAACACCGAGGTGCTGGCTGAACACCCAGCGCAGCAGTGCCAGTGCTCGGAGGCCGAGGCGAGGTGATTGCTGGAACCCACTGCCCGGTTAGGGTCTTCGGTCGCACTGGTGATCGGGGCATGCTGGTACCTACGAGGTAACAGCCATCAACATCCCACTAGCTTGGAAGCCTCTGGCCTAATCCTGGTCTCCAAGATCCATAACACGGGAATAAAATGGGCCGGGAGCCCTCACAGGCTGACCTCGACCAGGGGCAGGGTCCCTTTTGAGGACAAGTTTTTACTGTGGGTGAGATGAGCTGTCAATTCTGTGACATACCCAGCTCGTCTGGACTGCGCGAGATTTTTAAGATGCTTTAGTTAAAACCCTTTTAGCCAACATCTCCCTAAAATACAGCACAAGGGCCCTGCAACTGCCGGGGAGGTTCGGACTGGGCCGGGCGAGCCCTGATGGAGACCGAGCCCTGCTGTCTTTGTAAAGCTTCCTCCAAATACTCCATACCGGGACCAAGTGCTAGAGAGGTAGATTTTAATAGATTTTTTTTTCTTACTATGGTGCTGATGTATATGTAATGTTTTAAAAAAAAAGAAAAAAAAAAGAAATTATTTGTAAATATGTTTTTACAACTCTACAGATATCACTGGGTCTACTATCTGTAAAATATATACATATAAATATATATATATATACTGTTTGTTTAAAATAGAGTATTTTTATTTCATTCCTTAATTCATCCTTACTGCGGTGGTATTGCACTTCAGATGACGTCTAATTACTAATTTGTACTGTACGTGCCCCCGACAGCAACTTGTTTCATTTTACTCAGATTTTTCTAGTTTTCTGTTTTTACTTTGTACATTAAAGCATTGCTTATTTCCCTTCTAAGACCTGTACAGAGCCTCTGGAAATGTAGAAAAGACCTGATGTTAACATACCACTTTTAAAGAAAAGGAAGATAAAAAAAAAACAAAAAGAAAAGAAAAAATAAAAGAAAATACAATAAACCAAAGGTTGGTTGTTATCAGAGTCATACCGCGGTCTGGGTTACTAGGCCCACTTCTGCTGTGTCATGAGGTAATGAGCTTGTGCACAGGCCCTAAAAGTTTTCTTTTAGCAGTAAACTCTTCACGTTGCTCTCTGCTGTAGTCCCTAGCGTCTCCCCCAGCGCAGCCATCCGTGCCTTCCTGGGAAGACCCGACCGTGTGAGGAGCGTCTGCGGGGCCTTCTCTTGGCATGGGCCGGGTCTGCACCTCGCCTGAGCTGCGCTGAGCATGGAGCCGCCGTGGGGAGGCTTTGTGTGAGACCGGGGCCGGCCTGCAGGAGGGCCCAGCTCCGGACACAGCCTGTGGTCAACCGTAAGCGTGTGGAGAAAATCAAAAGGCCTTAAGTGCAAGGCCAAGGGCAGCTTTGAATGCTTTCCCGAAGAAAGCAGTGTTTTGGTATACGCTTAAGCACCCTCCTGAAGTGGGATTGGATATTCTTGCAAAATCGGGGCCTTTCCGCGGCGTAGTGCAACAAAGCATGTTTTTACATTTGTAGAAATGCAGAGGCCACTGCTCGAGAGAATGGAGTGAAGCAAGACTGCGGAGGCAACGGCCAGGCTGAAGGACTTGGGGTAAGATGGGCTGTTGCTTAGTGTGAGTTACAGCTAGGTTGCTTGGTGAATTAATTATCTTAATTGTACGTAATTTGTTTAGGATTTACAGTACCGGATGTAGAACTAGAACATTGATTGAAAATGCAGGCATGACATGACAGTCTGATAGATTCCTTTTCAAGAGCAATGGGAAGGGAGAAAGTACACACAAAACTCAGGGAAAAGTGAAAACATGCATTTTACATTGCAATGGACTGTTAGGAAAGAATTCTGCTGCATTAACCACACACAATTTCTCTCTTTGATGTCAAGGGAAAATTATGTATTTTTTAAGAGTAAAAACAATCTTCAAAACAATTTATGTAATTTCTTCCTAATGCTGAAGTCCAGGTATTCATCCAGAAAGCTGTTGACAATCCCAGCTGCACCCAGGATTACCAAGAAGATTAGAGCTACCAAATTCAAATGAAAGCCTGCTAACCTAGAAGAATGAGAGAGAAAAATACCATTACAAGTTGGATATGGTGCAGTTACCGTAAATCTGCTTGTCCACCCTAATTAAGAGCTATGTGGGATTGAAAAGGTTCACTACAGCAAAACAGACTTTAGATGTCTTGGTAACAGTTACTGAAAGTGGGTTTTGCTGGGGAGTAGAGGGACTCTCAATATTCTCACTGGAGGAAATCTCTACCAGTGTCTCTAAATATTAATGTGGAGGCTGGGCTGTCTTCCATGACAAGCTATCTCAGTCTCGTGGTGTGAACAGCTGTAACTAAAGCAGCAAACAGACTTGAGCATCTTGAGCCTTCAGGGCTGGGTGAGAGGTGCGTGCATCTCATCGGCGCTCATTTGTCAGACACCCTCCGCTAAGTCACGCTCTGACTTGCGCGTTGATTTTTGGAATGGAAAGGAAGAATGCAATCCTAAAACTCAGTGGTTAGGGTACTTGCTGGGAATGGAAGAGTGTCAGGCTTGTATTTAAAAAGGAATTTTTAGTGTGTTGATTAAAGAGAAGTCCATTATATTTTATTTGCTCACTTATTTTAGAAGGTCTTGCTACCCAGACTTAATAGTTACTGGTTTTCTGGTTGTCATGCATGGCATCATATGAACTACTGTATCTCTGACTGGGAGATATAAAATTACTTCCCTATATTTACTCTGGAAAACTTGGCTTTGCCTTTCTCTTAAGCAAAAGCTCTTCAAAAGAGGGTGGGGGATTCGTGGCAACTCTAGTGAAGAAGAATAATGATAACCTCTATATAAAAACCATGGAAGACAGCTTTGTGGTCCAGCCTGTTGCTGCTGCAGGATTATTCAGTACAAAACAAACAAAGTGCTTTTATAGTCTTATTGTTTCATATATTTCTCCAGAAATATGGATTCCCAAGCCATTTATTTTTATGACTGGCATATATCATGCTACTTTCTTTTTGTGACTGATTTGTGTGTTGGAAGAAGAGCCTTAGGTTAGGCCCGTAGGATAGTAAGAGTGGCTTCAGTGAGGGAAGAAAATGAATTATGTGTTCGAGTGTACACTCACTGCTGGAGGCGTTTTGCTGATGTTCATATTTTTTTGAGGCAGAATTCATGTTACCAGATGCTGTGCACTTAACATTCATTAACTTATGCTTATCTGAAACTGTGTTTTCTTACATGTTTGGTGAATGTTCATCTACCTATGAGGCCAGATTTGTTTTCCTCCTTTAGTATCTTTTGTGTGGCTAGGATAAGTGTGTTAATTTGACAAACTGAGGGAAAAATGAGCCCAGCAAGCAAGCAGGTAGTGGGTACACTGTGTCTTAGCAGCCTCGCATCGTGCAGTAATGCTGTGCTTCTACCTGCAGTCCCCGTTGGCTCTGGATGCCGATGAGCTGCTCAGTGCGAAGCAGGCACCACGCAGGCGCTGCGTGGAGAGCACCAGCCCTCGTCTCTCATGACCTGCAGCGCACGCAGATCTTAACCTAGGCCCTGCTGGAGCAGCCAGCCTGCCTCCCTCAGGGTTCTTGTTTCAGCCCTCTTGCTGACACTTTACACATTGCATTCAATTATAGTCACTTTTCACTGCTGGTGCTTGGCGCTCAGCCCAGCTCCAGACCACAGCCTGGAGCTCCCGACCCGCGCGCACGTGGTAACTCCTTACCTCCCTTTTGCAGATGCCACATAGCCATAGAAGTACTTGTAGCGGGCATACACGTACAGCAGACCCAGAAGGGCAGCTAATTCTTGGAAAAAAAAAGATTGATGGGGGGGAAAAAAAAAAGAAACAGAAAACATAACAATGAGGATCGTAGGCAGTTAGCACTTCGGTTATGGTTTCTAGCTATGTAACATTGTGCGTTTTCATAGCTATCCATACTCTGGGAAGTAATATTGCAAAGGAAATTTTGTATATATATGTATGTATTTTTTCCCTAAAACTTCCCTTTAACTATAGAAAGCTCTTGATACAGGTTTACTGGCAACGTGGGCACAGGCCTGTCCCAAAAAAATCTAAAGGCATTCCCAAAAAGGAAGTCTTAAAAAAGAACAGTAATCTGTAGTTCCCCTGGTTTGGTTATCCCGGAGACAGTTTGGTTATCCCAGAGACAGGATAGTGGTTGGAGCACTGTCGTTTTATGTTGTTTTGGCAGTTCATGTTAAAGTGTTTGTTTTGCAGAGAAAATCTTATGCTGTTAATAACCTCTTTGCGTTTATAAAGCAGCTTGAGGACATGAGAGGAAGCTGTACTGCATGTTAGCTTTCTGACCTCCCTGTGGGAAAAGCATTAAGTTACCTCCATGTAATAGATGGAGCAGGGAGTGTAAGGTCAGTTGTGTTATCCAGGACTAAGCATTGCCTTTTATTTATTAATTTTTTTTTCTCCCATTCAGACCATGTAAGCAAGTATTAGAGAGGATGACTTCTACTCTGTTCTGGTTTAACTGCAGTAAATGCACATATGGGAGATGTCTAGCTGAAAAAATGGCTTACAGAGGAGGTAAACATAATCATTTTCTTACATGTGACAGTGCATATCTGTGTTACTGTTAGAGAATGTTATTTTTCTTGATTCAAGTGTCCATCTTGAGCACATGTACTATTCCTTTCTGCAATGTAACTCTTAGCAACATAACTCTGCCCTTATATTGGTGCAATGAAGATGGAAATTTATCTGTAAGAGAACCCCAAAACAGAACAACTGTTTTGGAGCAAAGATAGAAAATGGAGAGGTAGAAAATAGTTTTTCAGGAAGGAGAAATTTAGTGAGGTATGACCTAATTTTCCTTTCTCCAGACACACATGCTCTGTGCTTGCAAAATATCCGTTGGGGATGGGTTAGTAAGGGAAAAGGTCAACGTTAGACTCTGTCACAATTCTAGCTCTACAGACATCTGCTCCATTGCTGTTAGGAGACTCCGTGGATCTACCTCGGATGCCCAAAAGAGTGAGAGGTTGGAAGTCACAATAGTATATGAGTGCAGGATAGCTGCCCCAAAATAGCCTGCTTGGGTGCTTTATAAAAAAAAATAATAAGAATGGTTCTCCCAAGTCTTCTCTGCATACCTGAAATATAGTAACTATCTATGTATGGAGATGCTGCTGTTCTGCCTGAGCTTGAATTCTCAGCACTTCTTGTGCCCCAAAACAAACAAATGAGTCATAGCCCAGTGGTGCTGTCACTCATCTGGTGTATAAAATCCCAAAGATTCGCTGTCTTGAACTCTTGTCTCCTTCAGCCATGGCTCTAGGGATGAGTACTCCAACCTGAGCTTCCTCAGGCTGCTTCCTCCCCAGGGACCATAGCTGTGCTTAATGTCCCGTGGGAATTGTCCCATAATGTGTAAATAACTGCTAGTGTGAAACATCTGGGAGCTGCTTTTCTGAACGATTCACCCTGGAAACCCACTGAATAAATGAAAAATAGGGTATGTTCTGTGGTTTGCAGAGAAAAGAAAAACCAATTGGGCTATGTGAATTCAGTATAACCTTACAAGCACTCAGTCATAAAAAATAATGAAACTGAAGGGAAAAAAAGCCACGTGTACTATAGTTGACCACCTGGTACAACCAAAGTATATTTAAAAAAAATTAATAAGTGTGTACCTTGGTTAAAAAAACTTCCTGCAATCCAGAGGGTAGACAGGAATAGTGGATAAAACTCTGTACAGTTTTGTCTGCAAAAAAAAAAAATTGAAAAAACATTATTGTGGAAAGGAAGGGAATTGTGGGTGGGATTTTCAAGGACAGACAGCTTTGGCCTGATTTTGTTTCTTCTGAGGTTAATGCCGTTGAATCTAGTGGGAGCACAGTCAGGCCAGCACTGGTCACTCTTAAGAACCCATTCTTTATCATTTCATATATGGACACTATTATTTCAAACACTTTTGTGGTATTTAAGCTCAGACAAGGATACAAGGATACAATTACATGGGAGTGCTTAACAGATAACCCCAAATCAAGTGCTTATGCAGCAGAGAGAGACAGGAAATCAAACACATCCCTGGATGTGATCTCTCAGCTCCCCATCCTCCTGCAATTTTTGTGGATCGTTGTTCCCCAAACCGAAGAGGAATGGAGCAATGTAGGCAATTTGGATTGCCCTGCTGAGGCCAAGGCCACTGCTAAGTGGTATCAGGCCTAAGCAGCACGTGATAGATCTTCTCGTGGCTAAGACAATGTCTTTACTTGTGGACACCTGTATTTCTCACACTAATATTTTGTTGGGTTATCTTTTCTTGGTTGTCATTCAGAATGAATTTCTCTTTAACAAATTATGTAGCCTTCTATAACTAATACATACTGTTACCTGATATCTTATATATTCTATGTCTATTTTTATTGCTATCCCATAGAACTACAGTCACAGAAGATGGAATTGCTTTGAACAATACAGTGTTAAATATAAATACTTAACCTTAGAGGCATTAGCTAATCTCTAGCTGAAGACGTTTAGGAAAACCTCATCTTTTTAGACAAGCTATCCCACAATTATCCACTGGGACACATTGAGATTGTGTGTGCTCTTTTCTTCTGTTTTGTGTTAGACACAGTCCAAGAACCAGAACTTGAACAATGACCAGTTTATATGGGCTGAACTTAGCCCATTATCAGTAAAACAACAGCTGAACCATCCGAAAAGTGATCTGTGTCTTTAACTGCATTACTTTTCATGTCTCAGGCGAAGGATGCAAAGAAAAGGTGATGTCTTTAAGATAAGGTTGCTTATCTTCTGGACTGAACCTTCTTTTTTTAAAAAAGCTGTAGAAAAGTTAGAATTCCTGGAAGATTGGTAAAAAGATTCTTGATACAGAAAATTCTTTATTAATATTGAGCCTGATGTTATTCAACGCATGAACAATTACGTAGATTTTCATGTGTAATTTATACACATTACAAATTTGAATATAAGATCAAGACGTGAAAAGTGCCATAAATGTAAGAATCCACTACAATATATGTACAACACACAGTTCAACCAATTCCTCAAATCACTGGCTCTGCAAATGGTGGTGATTAGCCCTGGATCACAACCATTTCATGTCAGAGCAGAGTGGCAAGCGTCATTCCCTAGAGATAGGTACAGATGAGAGTTCACCAGGAGTTAAGATGTAGTGTCATAACACAGAGCAGGAGATAAATGCAACTTTTTAAAGCTCATTTTATCTTGGAATTCTCTAGTGCCACATGAATTAGCTAAATAAAGATGTTATTCGTTGCCACCATCGTAATGATCTCAGAACTTACTGCGCACGAAATGTTCTCTCAAATTCTGGAGCTCCAGTGACAGCTGGGGGCATCACCTTGTGTTTCCTCCTTGATTGTCCCACCAGCCAAACAAAATGGCCTGTAGGCAAAAATAAAGGCTCACCTACTATACAGCTTTTTCTCAAAAACAAACCAGCAACTCACTTGAGTCCTTAACATATGTCATTTATTTGCAACGTCAGTCGCTTTTAAATCAAAATTGCTGCTCTTTGCATTTCATATGGTGGAAAGAGAACAGTATGAGATAAACTAGATTTTCCCCCAAATCAAGTCTGAACTTCAAATGCAACTTACTTGGAGGAAGGAGAAAAAATACCATTTCAGAAATATATCCATTCTGTTTTAGCGTTTTATGATTTAACATATCCTTCTGCTCTGCCTGAATCATAGACCGTGTAGCTTAGGAGCAGTCTAGCTACCCTATAGCAGTGTGTGCTGTGTTAGGAGTATCACAATAACCAAATTGCCCTGATTGAGGTCACCCCCCTTACTTGCTTAAATAGTGTGTGATTATTTTATTTTAGTGATACTAAGAACAATGAAACTTTGGGGTACGTATAGGATATTGTTACATGCTCTGTAAACAAAAATGCAGTAGCCACCATACTAAAATGTGTGTAGCAATGTCTAAATTTTTAGATCCAGTGCAGTGCTGTGAACAGCAGAGATTACCTACTGCAAAGCAACTAAATATCAGCTGGGAAAAAAAAAAAAAAAAAAAAAAAAAAGATCTATGCATTTCTGGACTTTGTTTCAAGGATCTCTTCTGATATCTGTGTTCCTCATTTTTATTGGCATCCTTATTGCAGAAGTCTGCCTTTAGAAGTCTATTGGAGGCTCACAAGGACCTGAACCTTTGGATAGCCATTTCCAGTAGGCAGCAGATCTATCGGGCTTCTTGCTGTTTGACTTTAAAGCTCCCTGGGTACCTGGAGGTCTTTCTCCAGCCACGTCGTAGCCCCCCTTGTGGGAAGCTCACAGACTGCCTCTTACCTGAGAGGCCCGGATCTAGAAACAGGCACCTGCCTGAGCTTGCTGAAAAGGCTGCTGTTGCGGGCGAGCTCAGAGCATCGCTTCAGGCCTCCCTGCGGAGAGCAGAGGCATTGAAACACAGCTGGCGATGCTCGTGTTGCTGCCCTGGGCACCTTTCATGTCTCAGCCTTGCAGCCAAAACCTTTTCCCAAAAAGGCCCTTTCCTATCTGTCTTCCCTCCTGCGGGTAGTTGGCTCTCTGCAAGGCAGCTTTACAGGACCTTGCGTTGCTCTTGCGTCCAGTAAGGCCTCCTCCCCTCGCGCCCTCGCATCTCGTTATGTCTGGAGATTCACCCATTTATGTGACACCTTGCAGCATTTTCAGAAGGGAAGAATAGCAGTGGGGAGGCTTTAGGGAACACGCTTTAGGGAGACTGAAATTCCTGGAAGCACAAAGATGCCTTTTGAGAAATATTTTCCTGGGAAATGTAACTAAACAGTTGCTTTTTGACCTCTGCCACCTGCCCGCCACCCTTTTTTTTTGGTGACAAGTGCTACACGCTGGCAAATCCTGCCTGGCTCGTCAGTCAGAAGTGCTAGGCAAGCCTTAGCATGTCATGGCACTAGCGTTTCCAGCCAGCAGCAGCTTTCCTGGCTGCGCAGAGCTGTGCGACGCTTGCCGACAGCCTGCGCCCGGGATTGTTGTGCTGCAGAGCTCGGGGAGCTGGAGGCAGCTCATCACATCTGAACCAGCTGGAACAGCCTTGAACGGATGCGGGGCAAAATAAACGTACTGCAGTAAGAAAGCTTACTCCAAATTTAAGTTTTGTGATTACGGTTTAGCAAGAGCTAAAGCAAATTATTAAAGTCATGGGAGAGCCCTTCTGCCCCACACCCGGGAGATGCTGTGGGGAGCACTGCAGAAAGCAGTGCTGCAGGATTTTCATAGCCTCTTCTGTATCCAGCCCCACTCTCTTATCAGGTTGTTCAGGTCTTGCAGGCTAAATTATATGACTTAGGTAGTTACAAAGTCTGCTTGACTTGCCCTTGTTGGCTTTTCTGTTTCTGTTTTTTTTTTTTTTTTTTTCCAGGTGGTATTTATGGTTACTAAGTTAATATCTTTACTTTGAAAATGCAGGACAAAGCCAGCCTTCAAGTAACGTTACTCTCAAACACTCTGTGTGTTAAAAACCCTATAGAGAAGGTGGTATTTGTATGGAAATGTATGATAGTGCATGCTAATTTGCATGCCCTTGTCTAACAGCCCTTTTAAAGAAAAATCAGCTGCTTTTTAGTAATTTCTTGCTGGATCCAGGAATTAAGTGCGATTTTAACAGGCACGCACAAGTTCAAAGAGATGCTTGAAAATGCAGAAGTACTGGTGTCTTCCCTGCTGGATTCTGCCCTGTATCACTGACTGGGGATTCACGTTGTTCATTTGCTGGATTCCCTTGGTTTCCCATAAATCTACTGTAATCTCTTGAGCAAATCTTAGCTGCTTACAACTGGATTCATGACTGGAAGCCACTTGCTGCATTGCTTCTGCTCTTCCTGCCCTGGAGCATTTCTCGCACAGCTACTTTTTAAGTGACCTAACTCTTTGTGTAACTCACAGTTCTGCCGCGCTACACCACGTCTTTCTGTGCCTCTGATGAGTGCCGAGCGAGACCTGACTTGCAGCACTGCTTCAGGGAGGTCGTGTTGCCTCTTAGCACCTTCCTACCCCGCGACCCGAGGCACAGCAGAATAAACCCAAGAGCGAACAGTGCACTGTAAGTGCTGGGTATTTGGTGTGTATTTTGCTCGCAGCAATCAGTCACGCTCCAGGCTGCTTCCCCTACCTGAACTGGGTATAACTCTTGCTTACAGTACCAGTTTGCAACATTCAGGGAAATGGTGTTTTGCACTCACACTGGTTAATCTGTGGTGGTTTACCCAAGCTAGAAAGAGTGCTGGAAATAAAACAAGCCGCGATGATTTGAATCAGATTAGCAGATCAGATTCTCAACAAGATTTCTCCTCAGACTTCATGCCAGACTGCCAGTGTAAGTTAAAACCCAGGCTGCCTTGTCTTCTCTGTAATTTTACCTACGATTAACTAATATGGAAGAACCAATGCAAGGAAGAATATAGGTATTTCCTCCTCCTTTTTCAGTGTCAGTATCTGCACAGTTCCTTGAATTTGTTGAGTTTTGAACTTTCTCCGAGTTTTCAGACTAAAAAGACAAACAAGCAAGCCCCTTAACGCTTGTACTCTGTTAAAAATTGAAAGAGGCTAGTTGAACTTTCACCGAAGTTGATGGCAAATACTGCCACCGGATAGAAATGTAGCTGATCTGAAAATACGAAATCAGAGCTTGATACAGGTAACCCCAGATGTTACAGTTACATGCTCCATCCCTCCAAAGACATGCAATTTAGAAAATTAAATTTTAGGTGCTTTTTATTTGGCTTTTGTTGTGTTAGGTTTTTTTTTTCCTCTCTCTCTCTTTTTTTTTTTTTTTTTTAAGGCAGAAAGGTCATGTTCTCAAGCTTTTCTTCCACCAGGTAGTAACATTATTTCAGCAGCTGGGGGTTGAAGAACAAGCGAACAACCAGTCACACCCCATTAAGTAATCTGGCAGTGCTGCAGGTATTTGAAATAAGGGCAAAGCAATTATCTTTAACTCGCTCTTAATCTCATGCTAACTTAGCAAAATTGCCTTCAAGATGTATCCAGTTTTCTGCTGTAAACACAGCTACATGAATCAACATATCTCAAAGAAACCAATGGCAAGCACTAAAAGAGCTGCGACGAACTTAGACTGACACATAGAAAAAGCAGTGTCCCAGACTTGCCCACTTCTTTCCCTGTCATCTGGCCTGGTAAAATGGGGAAAATGTATGTCCTTAAATCTCAGCACAATATCTGTAGGGAATAAAATAAATCTATTCAGAGTCTTAAGAAAATCTATTGATAAGAACATTGTATGTAACGCGCTTATAACATTGCTGCCTGCTCTCTATAGGTTCTGTGTGGGTTTTTTTTCTTTTTTTTTTTCAGATGCTGAATACTATGCAGTCTATACAGGGGAATAATTTTACAGCACTTTTAGTCCGGCATTCTTGTATTTGATTTGACAAATTTACTCTCACTTTTGATGTTTTCAGTTGCTTAATATTCAGGTACCTAAAAAAGAATCAAAGCTGAGACAGAACATGGCTTTTGGGTAACTTTACAGCCAGTTACAAGCTCTCCCAATAGTACAATTCTAAAAAGTCAGTAAACAAAATAGAAATTGAAAACAAATTAGTTTCTCCCACAGGGAAAAGTAATCTGTCCCACTGTGCCAACGCCCTCTCAGACTACAGAGAGGGTAAATAATGTTCCAGTGAGAAAAACCTTAGGAGTCCTCGGAAATTAAAGTTACATAACAGCTAGTTCAGCATAATTCCAGTACTTCAGAACCAGTGGAAACCTCCCCAGGCCCCAGCCACACAATCCCACAGATCTTACATTGCTGGATGGCGGAGAGAAGGGTTACGGCAGCGAGCAAAACTAAACCACCAGCCATGCTCCCGGCAGCTTCCGCACGCGGGCAGGATGCGTGTGCAGGAGGCAGAAAGGTTGAGCAATAAGGAAGAACAACGGCTTTTCAGGACTGTAACAAAGATCAGCCCTGGGGGGAAAAAGGACTTTCTTAAAGCTGGAGCGCAAAATTACAAGCATTTTTAGTTCTTGAAAAAATTAAAAAACAGCCAGCCAGCTCTTGCTCGCCTCTTGCCTGTGTGAAAACACAATGAGAACAAAAACAGCCTGTCAGCCTGTGCCCCTGTGGACTCGGACGTTCTTTTATGTCCTAGATTTCAGCTGCAACCTCTTCGAGGGCAAAGACTTTTTGTTCTGTGTGTGCAGTGCCCAGCACAGCGAGGCTCACGTCCGTCTCTAGCAGCACCTCTCCAGAGCAGCGGATGCAGGGGGATGAGAGGAGAGGCAGAGCCTGTTGCTTTCCTTGTTCTCCTTCATACTGTGTTTTTGCCAAGTATGTTCAACATAGTCTCGTGTGGATGGCATGACACCCACTTACTGACAGTCAGCACACAGGAATTATTCAGGATAGTTCCAGGGGTGAAACTACTGAGCAAGAAAGAAAAATCTCCCCTGATTTTACTGTCTGCAGTATGTTTTCTATAATTATGCCAAGAATTAACAGAGATTGTCTCAGGACACCTTTTTTTTTTTTTTTTTTTATTCTCATCAGCATGTCTTAACTAATAGTAAGCTAATTGTTGTCAGCTGCTATGATCCCATAAGATCGCTGGAGCAAAACCAGTGTAATGCTCGTGATTTCAGGATCATCCATCCACTTTGTCTCCAGCTGGTGTTGAAGTGGGTTTACTGAGTTCAGTCAAATGCTTGCATTTTTTAAAAGCTAAGGTAAAAATATTTAGAATCTTTTTTTTTTTTTACAAAAGAACTTGCTGATTTTTAAAATATAACTTCTTAGGTGTTAATTCAGTGTATGGTTCTTTACAAAGACTGGAACAATGAATACACTTATTAGAAGTGTCTTCACTATCCAGCTGTAATTGGATAATTTGTGTTTAGTAACTCTTAAATCAGTAATTAAAGTACCTTAGCTACTGTTGTTGTTGTTGTTGTAGTATGGGTTTGGCTTTCTGACAAAACAGTTTCTCTATGTTTGTAAAGGCCGGCTCAGGAATATTTAAAGCATCTTCACCCTGCTGATACAGGGGAGTAAAGAAATTCTGGCAGAGACACACTAACGAAAAGTTTGAAAGATGATTTTGAAAAGTTAAAAACACAGGAGCTAAACACTTTGAGGTCTTCAGCTGATGTTAAAATTTATTTTTTTTTTTAACTTTGAAGTATGCTAACTTAAAAATGGCAATAGACATGGAAAATCCAAGAAACTCTGTCTTTTAGTAGGCAGCAATACCATCTGGGGCATGAGGTTAAGTGCACAGAATGGATGCAAGGTAGGTGGCCTTATGTCTGAGCTAGACTCCGCTTGAGGCTGTGATCACTTTCCATTGACATCACAGAGTTTGTAGTTGCCTATAGCTTTTTGCAGGCAACTTGATCTAGATTTGCTGTCTTTCCCTGTCTAATCCAGGTATAGAAAGTCAGATCATTTATAAAATTAGACTCCTGGATGGGGTTTATTTTTGGTTGTGCAAGTACAGGAGTACCTCAAGCCCAGGGCTTTTATGATATAGTTATGTAAGCTGTGATATGTCAGTAGATGCCAGAATTGACTAAGAGATTTCTTCAGTTATGTCAGGACATTCGGCAGCTGGTCTGTGGCTAATCTCTTGTCTTGTTCATGATGAATATGGTTTCATTCTGTATTTCCTTCATTTGCAAGTGTTTTATAGGTGCTTTGCTTGCTTTTGTCATTGTAAATGCATGTGCTTCCTCTATCTGTCCAAAGCCAAAAGGCAAGAGAGGTGCTGAACAGTGAAATGTAATGTGGTGTCGTGTACAGAACTTAGGTCTTTCGTATTTGGAAACAGTGGTACTGTTTCCTGCACCATAACTTATACTGCTGCTGTACAGGAGGAATAAGCTTCTCTAAATAAACTGTACAGCCGTAGAAACGGAGGCATTGCGCCGGGGAGGGACCTGCTCAGGGCAGAGCCGTGTCAGCACCAGCAGCCCAGGAGCCCCGGTTTGACGTCGGCCTCGTGCTCTTGCCGCTCGCTGGCCCCTGCTTCCCTGGCAGACCTGCCCAAGGAGGCCGGCTCATCCCTGCTCATCCAGGGAAGCTCCTGGTGAGCTGGCGGGAAGGGCTGCCCCCGCAGGGTGCAGAGCTGTTGTCACCAGAGAGCAGGTGGTGAGGGCAGTGAGACCAAAAGCAGCTGGAGCACGAGCTGAGCTGCTCACGTGAGCTCTCTTGGTGGAGCTGTGCTCTCAGAGCTGCTCGGTTTTGTCTCTGGAAGACCTGAAAGGAGCTGCGCAAAGGGCAGCGTTGGATCTGTGCTGGTGCGTAACTTCATACAGGCTGGTCACGACGGGTGCTGTAGTGTCTCCTATGTGCAAGCCCTTTCTCAACACAGGCTCTGAAGAACAGAGAGGCTCCTCTGGCCTCTCATATGTTTCACTGGAAACTTTCTTGGGATAAGTCAACACTTTTACAAAGAGTCAGGGCAGCTCATGTGTCAAAACTAGTCAGCGGTACCAGGAGCGAGCTCTGCACTTCACTAATTTACTCTGCTTTTGAACTGTGTAGTGCAAAGAATGTTGGCCTGTATGGCACTGGTCTGTACCCAGGCTCCAAATATACCAGAGTTATGAAACAGGTGAAGCAGGGAGAATAAAACTCTTTATCCTGTCAGAAATTCCTGCGGCTTGCCTGCCAGGCTACCTGGGGCATACCTCTGGGTAGAAGCTAAATATTCCTCAGCTCCTACATCTTGGACTTCCTTGTAACTTCTAACCTGTGTGTTTCTGGAACAGGCTGTACCTGTTCCCTGGAGATGCTTTGCTAACACAAGAAGGGAGTTCTGCAGGCCTTGCCTCTCCTGTTCAGCAGAAGAGCAACATACAAAGCTGTTTTACCTTCTTTCCTTTGATTTACTTGTAAGAAACTTAATGAGTGCTGCAAAATCTAGCAGCCTGGAGCATGGGTGTTGTGGCCTTGCGTTCATATAATCTTTGAGGAAAAAGTTACAAAAAGTCACTCTTTTTTTTTGTCAGCATATGATTATGCTGAAAGATTAAAGCCAACTCTCCCAAATTCCTCACCGTATGGAAATCAGTGTGGCTTACATTTAGAGACTCATTCTCAGGCTAGAGCAGCCATGGGCCATTACGATCATCCTGCCTGGCTGCCTGCATAATACGAATTGGCAGCATTTCCACAATGAATAATAACAACTCATTAATAAGTGATGGGGGCTGAGAGGCAGCGCTGCTTGCAGGAGCGATAGCGCTTCCCGCACCGCGCGGCCTGCGTCGCTGTGCAGGGCACCTCCACGGGGCAGCAGGTAGTCCCGGGGAGCCGGGGGCTCCTCTGCGAGCTGAAGGGCTGGTAGGGCTTACGTCTGCTTCAAAAGGAGGTTTAAAGACTTCCCACTTGCTCTTGACTGACGGGAATCAGATGCCCACCCCAGCGTGGCTGCTCTGATATGAGGAATGCAGGGGGTGAGAGGAGATGCAGCAGATTTGAAGGCATATATTGCTTGTATGGCTCTTGTCTCCCTTTCCAAAACCATCCTGACTTATGACAAAGTAGCACTTGCTGTTTTTATTTTTTTTTTCAACTTGCTAACCTTGGAGGAAGAGCTGTATTAATTAGTGAACCATCTCACTTCCAAGGATTATTTTCACCTGTACTTCCAGAGGCAGATTTCCTTTTGTGTTTATAGAAATCAGCTATATGTAGGAGACAGAAGATGCATTGTGCTCGTGCCCAGCCTCATCTCACCCCGTCTCTCTTGCTCACTCGCTTCACCCAAGTCCACTTCTGCTTCACTCTCCCTTGATAGATGCCAGCTCTCCCAGCCTCCTTTCGCGTTTAGAGCGATTATATGTTAAAATCCAGAGACCCATGAAGCATTTTCTGCTCCGTGACAGGAGTGGGTCTCCCCTGCACGGCTGTGTTGCTTAGCAACATATTTCTCTCTCCTCGGATAGTCATTTCCCCTTGCACTGCCTGCTGATGCACGGCCAATGAGAGCAACATTACAGCCGCGGTTGCTCTTGTCACTCTTTACTTGTTATTTACAGTTATTGCCGTGGTGAAAATATTTCTTTGCATCCCTCCTTGTCTGAAATACATTATTTTACATACTTTCTGGCATGCTTGCCAAATTTGTGAATGGTCCCTGCGTTTCAGGGCATGTGGCTCGCAATCTTGCCAGGGTTTCCTAGAGTGGTTTCTTGTGGTGGGCATCTCAGTTATTCAGTCCCATATCCAAGGTTTTATTTTCAAAAGTGGCAAAATCCAGTCAGAAAGAGTCAGGCTTAAGTGCTTCAAACTGTGGGTCTCGTTTTTAGATACCTTGTACATTTAACCAATTCTGTTCTGAATCCCTTTCTGATGCTAACATCAATATTATAAAGTTAAAAATTTTCCATGAATGGAGACAAAGCAACCAAGATCTGTCCCTGATGTAAGGGCTTTATGTTTGCTCTTTTGTCTTGTACACTGAGCAGCTCTAGCTGAGTCCTCCTTGTTTGCATTTGTGGATGTGCCAGAGAGAAATATTGCTTCACTTCTCTCCTTTTCCCTCTTCACATTTTCTCTAAAAGATGGCAGCAAGAAATCCAGACTATGTGTGTTTTCTGATCGTATTCTGAATGTTCTGCTGCAGCATTTCCCTTGGCCGTTGCTTACTTTAATAAACTTTTGCTGCTTAGGGTGTATCTGGAACACTTCGTTCGTGCTGCTGGGTAGCTGCGTGCTGCTGGGTCCTCTACTGAGCATTGCTTAGTTCCAGATAGATTTTATTCCGTTTGTTAACTGGATTTCTGCCTTCTGAAAGGCACTGACAGCTGGGAGAGAACTTCACTTAGCATTGCAAGAGCGCAGTAGTGTCACACATGCATATGTATGTCTGC